CTGCGGGCGGGGCCCGCCATGGACAGGGGCTGCTCTGGCTGGTCTGGAGTGCCCCTGTCCACAGCAGGCTTTACACACTCTGCTGCTCCAGCCCCCAGTGGTTAACCAGACCTGGTAAGTATCACCAATTAAGGGTGATGCTTACCGGTTAACATTAGATCCATGTACCTGTGCACATTTCACCTCCATGTCTGGATGAGCTGGAAGGGTAGCATAGTTGCCAGCTATTCAGGTGCTTTTGTGTGTGTTCTTCTCCAAGCCTTACACACATGCCATCTGTTTACATTTTTGGTTTCTATTTCATATTCTTTAATAATTTCTGCTCTAAATAAATCTTTGTTTGTTCTATCAGTATTTTTCTTTCTTGTGGTTTTTTTCTCCTGAAGCTCCTGACAGGATTGCAATTAACATTGTTGTTTTTAGTTTCAAAGCTTATTTCATATAATTTCATTGTTTGCATATCACTTTCCATCTTAACAACAAAATTCAGGAAAGAGTTTAAGTGAAGGGGGCAGGAAAGCCACTGAATTTTACACAGGTTCCGCAGATTTCTTTACTCTCAGGGGAGTGGAGGATTTAATTTGGGGCAGGTTTTTTTTTTTTTTTTTTTTTAAAGTTAAAAATAGGGCTGCCAGTTGCAGTTAATTCAAGTGATTAACTCAAAACAAATTAACTTGATTAAAAATTAATCACAATTTACTTGCTATTTCAATGACATTAAAAGGTAATAGAATTCCAAATAGGACTGGCAGGGACCTCGCGAGGTCATCGAGTCCAGTCCCCTGCCCTCATGGCAGGACCAAGCACTGTCTAGATCATCCCTGACAGGTGTATTCTCACCCACTCTGTTTGCTTTTTTGACTGCCAGTGCACACTGAGTGGATGTTTTCCACTCAAGGAGAGGAAGCTTTAACTCAGGGGCTGGCAGTGAGTGGCTTGTGGGCTCTATGTGGTTCACCCAAATTAGCCCCTGGTGGGATACTTTAAGTACCTGACTGTCCACAGGTTTGGCTGCTAACATTGGCTGCTCCTATTGGTTGCGGTTTGCCATTCCCACCCAGTGGGGCTGTAGGAAGTGGCATGGGCCAGGCCACGGACAACAGGAGCTGCAAGAGGACTGCACCTGTGGACATTCAGGTAGATGAAGCATCTGGCAGCTTGCCAAAGGCTAACCTTGGCAAACTGTATCCAGGCCCCAGACCGTTTATTGCCCACCCCTGCTTTAACTTCTAGTCAGTCCTCCACAGGATCAGTGCTAGGCCATGTTCCACATTTTTGTTTACCTGCAAAGTTTTCTCTGCCTCTGTTCTGTAAGATTAGTAAATATGGTTCTTCAGTGCGATATGAGCCAGATGCCCTGCACAGCTTCCAGGAGTGAAGGGAAAACAAAGACCCCTGATCCTATGTGAGAGGAGCAAATCGTCCCTGGGCTTTGGGCTGTGTGGGTGGAGGGAAAGTGGGATATGGGACTGGCTGTGTGCTTCCTGCACGCTCCCTGTGGCACGTGGATTCAAATAGGTCAGTACTCAATGCATTGTGAAAATACTGGTGCGAGGAAGCCATTCTTGTGACCTTTCGAGGGTCCTTCATATTGTTCTGTGATGACAGAATTTCCATGTCTGGGACACTTTTAAGATGGAATGAGCTTGACTCGATCTAACACTTCCAGATGGGGACCAGTGAACTACACGTCAGCATCTAGTAACTGTGACTTGAGAGTGGGCAAGATCGAAGGGAAAAATGCAAGGATTTAAGAGGAAATCGGTGAATAGTTCTAAGGTATGTGGGCGACTATTAGGTGAGGCAGGAACAAATAGCCACTGTCAAGATTATTTTCCATCTGGTCCACTCAAGATGGCACACCTGCTCAGATATTTACAAGTTAGGTTTTAAAAAGCACTCTGCAGTGGTGTAATTAAGTTGTTTTATCATTGACACCAATGTAAGCAGAGTTAGGCCAACAGTGAGCACTTCTAGAAAACCCACCTTGTGTTGTTGAAATGCCAGAGGGTAAATTCACTTAATGCAGCATGATATATAAAGGCTGTTATGCCTTTTAACATAAAAATTATCCATCACTTAAAAAATCCTGGAGGGTGGTATAGAGATTCTGATGCCCTGCCCTGCCTAGACAGGAGAATTAATAATAAATGACAACAAATAAAGTTATTAGTCTCCAAAATAGGGCCCTATATTTGGGAAGATAGTATTCACTGTTCATCTAAGTTGCGTGAAGTGAGCCCACATAGTGTGGTGATGGTTGCTTTATAAATGCACATCATAACTCATCACTGGATGAGTTTATGAGGTAGGGCTGAGCAAAATATGGTACACAGCCCAGCAGGCACTTCAGGTAGTCTCCCTGCCTGACTCGCCTCTGCACACTGCTCAGAGTAGCCGGCTGCAGATGCCATATGCTTCTCTGATCGCTGGGAGCTCGGATGCAAAGGGGAGAGGGGCTTTATGTGCTGCTCCGCCCACAGCACAATCATGCAGCTCCCATTGGCCAGTCTTCAGCCAATGGAAGCTGCCTGTGCTCTGTGCGCCATGCAGGGGGTGTGGAAGGCAGGGAGCCTGCCTGAGGGATTTGCTGGGCTTATGTCTGGATAAGATCCTCCTAGCCAGAGCCTGTCTCTGGCATCCCCCCCCTCCCTCTACCTAACTCTTTGCCCTGCTCCCCACATAATCCAAACTCTTTGCACCTCCACTCCTGTCCCCATACCTCTTCCGAGACCTTGCACTCCAATCCCCTACCCCAGGTCACAACCCAAATCCCTGGAGCCACTCCTGCCTCAGGTCACAACCTCATCCCAGATCTTGTACCCCAGCCTTTACCACTACTCCAGGCCAGAATGCTCTTTTGCACCTATACCCCCTCCTGGACTCTGCACCCCCTCCTGCACCTGAATCCTCTGCCCTCTCCTTCACCCAAACTCTCACTCAGATCCTACTTCCTGTACCCCAGTCCCTTATCCTAAACCTCCTACTGTACCCAACCTCCATCAGAGACCTCACACCTCCTCCATTAATATTATGAAGAATGCAGCCCTTGTCTACTTACCAAATTCTTGGAGTAGCCCCCCATCAAAAATTATTGCCCACTCCTGGTATAAGGTGACAGAAAGTCCATAGTGGAAGAAATTCTTGGTAAAAGTTCCCTTCTAGTTCAGAAATTCATAGCAGAGTCTAATATAAGTGCAGGCTCTTTTTGCTGAATAATCAGCAGTAGATTTATTACATAAGTGTTCACATACCGTAAAGTTGCGAGTACAGTGCGCACTTTTTTTCCCGTTTTTTTAATGTCAAAGTCAGGGTGCACATTATCCATAGGAGGTTTTTTTTTAAAAAGTTTTAAATTCACCCTCAGCAGGCACAAGCTGGGCGGGGAGGGAGCCAGGCATGGGCTGGGCTGGGCTGGGCTGAGTCCGGCAGGCGAGAGCTCGGCGCGCGGACAGCTGGGCAGGGGAGGCTCCCCCGGCAGGCGCGAGCTCGGCGCACCGGCAGGGGGACCCTGTGGTAGCACACACAAGCTCAGCTGGGCAGGGGGACCCTGTGGTAGCACACACAAGCTCAGCTGGGCAGGGGGACCCTGTGGTAGCACACACAAGCTCAGCTGGGCAGGGGGACCCTGTGGTAGCACACACAAGCTCAGCTGGGCAGGGGGACCCTGTGGTAGCACACACAAGCTCAGCTGGGCAGGGGGACCCTGTGGTAGCACACACAAGCTCAGCTGGGCAGGGGGACCCTGTGGTAGCACACACAAGCTCAGCTGGGCAGGGGGACCCTGTGGTAGCACACACAAGCTCAGCTGGGCAGGGGGCCCGGCGGCAGGCAGAAGCCCCTTCCTTTCTATGCATACCTTAAAATCTCACGTATAATGGGAGTATGCATTATAGATAATAGTTTAGTTTATTCAAGAATTTTGACCTTTAAAAGACAGATGTGCATTATATATAGGTGCACATTATACGCGAGATTTTATGGTAGGCTAAGTCTACACTGTACTATAAACTTGAAATAAGATACACAATTTGCGCTGTATCTTAATACACAACTATCTATACAGCACCAAATTTTGAAATAAAGTGCTATTTTGAGACATCACTTGACCCTCATGGAATGAGGGTTACTGGGATGCTGAAATAGCATGCCTGTTACTTTGAAAAATATTTCGAAATGATGGGTGGCTTGTGAAGTTGCGGGGTAGCTATTTCAGGATACCTCTGGTATGCCAAAATAACTTTGATGTGTAGACATACCCATAGTTTTGCTTCCTGGTTTATCTAGGATTTTGCAAACTATCTGCCCTTAATGGCAACTACAGCAGAAGCAATTGGGTTGGGAGTAGAGGTCTTGGCACATTAGCAAAGGATTTTTTCATGGAAGGTGCTATTTCAATTACAGTCTAGTTAAACAACTTTTCCAGTTATCCAGCTGTTCTCTGAGCTACCAGGCATCACAGATGGAGATGCTGTGCCTGTTTAGACATATTTAACGTGCCTTGGATTTGTGTGGTGTCTGATATAAAGCAGTCTTTGTGATGCCCTGCAAAATAGATATTTGCATAGATTAGAAACATAACTGCCTTTTATTTGCTGTTAACTCAGAGGAGGCATCTTTCCAACAATTTGTGCTTAAAAATAAGCCTTTGTATAATGTTCAGAGCAAACCAGCTTGTTCTGTTTTGCAAACAGATCCCATGTGCTCTCATCGCTACTTCTCATGTGGGTGTAATGCTGTTTTCTGCACAAGCATCAGTCCCCAATTTCATTCCAACTGCAATTTCGTTTCCAGATCATCCCAGTCATCAGGTGTGAGCGTGCATTGTGGAGTGCATCTTGCAGTGTATTTTTTAAAAATCTGCTTTGCAAGAGGTATACTGTACCTTGTAGGATTTAAGCTCATTGTTTCGAGAGGTATTAGATAGTGTTTGTCCCCTTGCAGAATTGGGCCCCTGGTGTATCA